TAAAAGTTATTTAAATAATTTTTACTAAAATGAAGATGAAAATGTAATGTTTGAACAACTTATTTTTTTATCACATTCAAACAAAAGTAAAATACTATCCAATTTTTTTTTGTTGTTGTAAAATTCAAGATCGATTCAATATGTCTATAGTTAGACAAAATATGAAAGTAAAACCAATGCTAAGAAAGTCAATTTGATCAATTTGGAATTACTTTTGCTTCTATCTTCTAATTCGCGTTTTTGAGTTATATTAGTATTTTACAATTATTTTTTATTAATGACTTATTGTATTTGTCATAAAAATAAATGGGTCTAATAATCTAAATAAATTTTGGCCCAAATAAATTATTAAGCAAAGATTCAGATTTCTTCATCTTCCTCCTTGAGGCACGCCGACGACAAGATTTGACGCTTCCGATCTAGAACAATCCGCTTCCAACTCCGAATCGTGCGTTTCCACAGCGATTCCAAATCTCACTTTGTGGGAATCGCGATTCCGGTGCGATTCCTAACGATTCTGTTTCCGTTTCCGATTCCGGAGCGAGAATCGTATCTTCACAGACGATTTCGTGCTACGTAGCTTCACAAACGAAGATCACTCATTAAATTATTCACTTTATGCTAGGCGAGAATTTAAAACAAATTTATCATATATATATTCCGGTTGGTACATTAATTTGATAGAAAGTTTTTTTTTTTAAGAAAAACAATTTGTTACAGGTTAAAATTGAGGATATGAACATTATTTTTTATTAATTTTGTTTTTAAGTGAGGATATGAACATTAAAAAACTGTTTTGGCGAGAACGTGAGATTTTATTAGGATCACTATTAGTTAATGTGTATGTTAGACGTTATTTTCGAAGGACCATTTTTTGATGAAATACGATTTGTTGGCGTGAGAATATGATTCTTCTACTTTACAAATTTTAACGGATTTATCATATTTCCGGACCAAAAGAAACAACCGGATCGTCTTGACGTATACCGGAGTTGGGAGTTCGATTTCAACGTCATAACTGAAAGTGACCACTTTGAGGATTTTCGATTTTGCCGCAAAAACCTTTTTAACGCATTCGAGGCACGCTTTGGATTCGCTGTCCATCTCTCGCGATGAATTATCTATCTTATGTTTAATTAAGTTTAAATTATGTTGTATTGGTGGTCGATGATGCTTAATTTTCTTTCTTTGTATTGTGAAAATTTATTGAATGAATTAAGATTGTGAAAAAAAAAAAATATACGCGATTATATAGCGGACTATGTCTTTTAAAGAAAGAAAAAAAAAGTCAGTAATATGATAAAGAAATTTAAAAGCATATGGAAAAGGAATACTAGGTGAGTTGAATGATAATAAAGGGTTTTGTCCGTTAAAAGAAACGAATTAAAGTAAAAGTTTTTTGGATTACCTACTTATTAATAGGATAATTTTTTACATTGAACGAATTGTTTAAACAATGCATATTGATCGACATATCTTAAGTTTATATATAAAGCTTAGTTAGAGAGACTTGTACCACAATGCCAAGTATCTAACCATTTTGTTTGTTATAAATTTATTAAGCATCTTGGATTAA